TTTCAGCTGGGGACAGGTGACGGGAAAAGAATGCGCAGGGATGGAGTCTATTATCCTCTTCAGCTACCTGGGATAACACAGCTCCTACTCCGGTATCCGACACATCAACCTCCAGTACAAAGTGTCGTTCTGGGTCGGGACGATGAAGTACAGGAGCGTTAGTGAACTTGCTCTTTAACGAGCGAAATGCTCTTTCGGCCTCTGTGGACCAAACGAAGGATTTGTTTATGGATGTGAGACTTGTTAATGGAGCTGCCGTTTGACTGTAGTTGCGAATGAATCTGCGGTAAAAGTTGGCAAACCCGAGAAATCTCTGGAGTTGTTTTCTGGTAGAAGGAATGGGCCAATCAGTAACTGCCTTGACCTTCTCCGGATCAGCTCTCAACCGCCCACTCTCAATGACGAAACCAAGAAATTTTACAGTTTACACGTGAAACTCACATTTCTCGGCTTTTACTTACAGACGGTTCTCCAGTAGGCATTATAAAACTGCTCTGACATGTTGAATGTGTTGAGATGGGTCTTTGGAGAAAATGTGCTGGTACTGATATTTTTGGATTTTTTATAAAAAGTAGGATATCATCTCCAAATAAAGCAATTTTATGAACCGTCCCTTCTCCGTCTCTTATTCCCTGAATCAACTTGTTCTGGCGAATTATTTCTGCTAGTGGCTCAATACTCAAGGCAAAAAGTACAGGTGATAACGAATCTCCCTGCCTCACCCCTCTTTCTACCTTAAAAATTTTTGAACAATAACTATTTATTCCTACTGTCGATTTTGGGTTTTTATATAAAACATTGAACCAATCTACAAACTTTTTCCCAAAGCCCATTTCCAAAAGAGTATACTTTAAAAAGGTCCAGTCTACTTGGTTGATGGTTTCTCTGCATTTAAGCTCAAGAGCATGGATGTCTGCTTATCTTTCATCATTATTGACTGTAGGTTCAAAGCTCTCCTCACATTATTTATGCCTTGACAACCTAAAATAAAACCAGTCTTGTCTGGTTTAATTACTTTCTTTATATGTATCTGTATTCTAGATGCTAGTATTGATGTCAGTATTTTATAGTCCACACAAAGCAGGCTTATAGGACGATAGCTGGGGCATTGGAGAGGATCTTTCCCTTCCTTGTGCAGAACTGTAATAATCACTTTTTTCCGTGGTTCAGGAGGATTCCCTGAGTCTAATACGTAAATATATAGTTTACATAATATAGGGGTAAGCTCAGTAATAAAGGTTTCATAGTATTCCCCCGCAAAACCATATGTGCCTGGCGAGCTATTATTTTAAAGTTTATTAGTACTATTTCTAACTTCAGTCTCTTTTATTGGTTCTGTTAAACTAGTCCCTTCTTCTTCTGACAATCTATCCAACTTAAGAGTTTTATGGAAATTTTTTATGCCATCTAATTTTAAGTCCAAAGCTTGGTTTGTATATAATTTATGATAATATTCTGCAAAAACATCTGAAATCCCTTTTGGGTTAATTTCTACCTTATTCATATTTAGTGAGTTAGTTTTAGGTATTATACGACTGGCTTGGGCCTTTCTCAGCTGAAAAGCTAAAAGTTTACTCGCTTTATTCCCCATTTCATAATATTTTCTTTATATAAATCTTAGGGCTCCTTCTGCCTTATACGTTAGTAGACTGTCCAGCTGGGCTCTTATATCTTTCAAATTATCCAATGTGTCCTGTCGTCCATTTTGTTTATGTTCCTTTTCCAACTTTTTTATTTTTGTCTCTAATTCTATCTGTTTTCTCTCCCTTTCTCTCTTTATTCCAGAACCTATTGAAATGAGTTTACCTCTTATTGTAGCCTTTCCTGCATCCCACAGCACTGTTGGTGAAACCTCCACATTGTCATTCATGTCAAAATATTCTATTAGGGCTGATCTCACTTCCTCTCTTACATGCTTATCTGTTAGTAGGGATACATTGATTCTCCAGTATCTACTCTGAGTTTCTGATCCTATGTTCAGCCTCATAGTAACTGAGCTATGGTTTGAGATTGTAATTGGTTCAATTGTGCATTCTTTAATTCTAAATGTATCTTTCTTAACCGTAAAAAAGTAATCTAGTCTTGAGTAGCTTCTATGTACCTGTGAGTTGAAAGTAAAATCTTTTTTGTTTGGGTGGAGATGGCGCCAGCAATCTATTAGCCCCAGCTCTTCAATCATGTGTAGAAGAAACTGGCTTGGCTCACCATTAATGTAGCGTTGTAGTTTTATGCTCTTTTATGAAAGAGGAACCATGCTACGTATTAATTCGGAATATTAATTTTTAATAAATCAATTACCAAATTTTATATTGTTAAGAAGACTCAAAGGTTGTTTTCATCGATAAACTGACGATAATATCTGTGTGTCTGTGTTTCAGTTCAATGAGGAAACCAGTTTGACAATTAAAAGTTTTAATTCTTCAAATTAAACTAATGATTTTGAAAATTGACAAACAGGAAATAACAATCAACATTGGCAACTTTGTGGGACAATCTTTAACAGTTGATATGCTGTTCTTGCTCAAATAGACCTTGTGGTGAATTTATGAAGATTGAGAATGTTGTGATATGAATGCGTGTGTGAGTCTGATTTTGCTTCAGGAAGAAACAGGTGTCTGAGTGAAGTGATGGTTTGGATAAACTTAGGTCTTATCAGAGAACTGCATCAAACGCTAAGAACCGTGCTCTGTCTCACCGAACTCTTGTGGACCCTCTTTCGGATCCGGGCCGTGGAGGATGTTGTGGTTCATCCAGATGACACCGGCGGCTGACAGGAGACGTAGGCGTCGAACGGAACCGGTCCAGAGTTGCCCTCGGTACACGTGGATGGTAGAGCGTTTTATCGATGCGCTTTCTTAAGTTAATTCACTCAGAAATCAAAAGACTCGGTAATGAGTCTGCGTTAGAAGTCGCGATTCAGCTATTCTGCCTGGCTTGGCAGAAACAGCGTGAGAGGGGGGGGGGGGGGGGGGGGGATTGAGCCAATGGGCTCCGTGCCCCCGTTAGCGGTTGTTCACACGTCCTCTCTCTTTCGTTGTCAAGCACGAACTGCAATCATAAGACTGAAACTTACCAAAAACCTTTCTCCTCTCAAAGCAAACGTGTGCGTCAGCAAATGTGTTTTGGAGTTTACTGTGAGCAGATGTGTGTGGGTGTGTGTGAACGTTTGTGTGCTTGAGTGTGTGTGAAGGTCAGCAACAAACATCCTCAACATTATTTAAGAATGGCTTCATTAATCCATTATAATTACCCAAAGCCTAATAGTCATTCATTTGATTAAAACACATTTATAATGAGCAAAATGATAATGGTTACTTTAACATTAAAATCAAGAAACAAAGTTTTAAGACTTGTTATGTTATGACTACTTTTATGGGAACAACATCTTCTGTGGGAACAACATCTTCTGGCACGAAGCTGCAGGCGGCAGATGTTATGGTTTCCTCCCAGACTCGCTGGCGTTCAGGTGTTAATCTGTGGGTGAAAGTTCTCAACGACCCAGCTTTGACACAGCTTAGTCCAACACCACCTTTGTGACAGAAAAACCCATATTTCCTCACGTTACACATGTTTGTTAGACTTTTAGATTTTCTGTTTTGTGGTTTCGAGGAGGTAGGTAGTTTATCTAACTTATAGTTAATTACGCAGTTGAGGTCACCCCCAATAACAATCAGACCTCTCCATCTCTCAGCAATTAATTGAGCCATTCTTTCAAAAAATTTGGGACAATCTTCATTTGTTGTATAAATATTTAGTACCATTAACTTTACCCCTGCAACTGAGCCAACCACCATAACATATCTACCTTTTTTGTCCTCGATTGTCTCTTCAATAGTATAATAAACATTTTTTATTAAATAACATAGCTACTCCTCTTTTTTCCGTTGCCATATAAGGTACTATATACTTGGGCTACCCACTCTCTTTTTAGTTTTTGATGGTCTGTCTCTGATAAATGCATTTCCTGGAGCAGAGCTATAGAGCATAGCATTTTTTTTTATTGGCACAGGATCTTCTTCCTTTTAATGGGATTATTGATTCCTTCTATATTATATGTAACTATTTTTAAATAGTTCATCGCTATTTTGTTTAGATAATTTATTACCTTTTGATTGCATGTAAACACAAACAACAACAAATAAACAAAAATCTAACTGCACATACACATACATAATTTAAAAAAATTTAAACCTACTTGTCAGTACAACATCTTTCTTTATATAAATCTGAGCTTCCAAACTACTAGCCTGTCACAGTGTTGTATCTAGAACTGCGTCTGGCTCCCATTGGTAAGGGACCAGGGAGTGGTGACTTAATCTCCCTGTAGAAAACTGCACATAGTGTGCAGTGACGACCAGTAGTACATATTTATGTAAAGAAAACTTATTTTGAGCCTGACAGGGTTAAAGTGTTTCATAAATAAGTAGACATTGGTCTGCAGTGGGGATCTATGGATACCTAATAAATAGTGATGCTCACTAGAGAATGTCATCATAGCATAGTCAAGCATGGTGGTGGTAGTGTGATGGTTTGGGGTTTCTTTGCTGCTTCAGGACCATGTGCTGTGATTGATTGAAACATGAACTCTGCGCTCTACCTGATAATTCTGAGGAAAATATTAATGACCTTTAACAGGCCACTGATTCTAGAAAACCCTCTAGTGCAGGGGTGTCCAATCCTGGTCCTGGAGGGCCGGTATCCAGCAGGTTTTGTGGTTTTTCTGCTCCAACAGGCTTGATTCAGTGGTTGAAACACCTGTGCAGCAGCTCATCAGGCTCTGCAGAAGCCTATTAATTAGCTGCTGATTGAAATCAGGTGTGTTGAAACAGAGTTCAAACTAAAACATGCAGGATACCGGCCCTCCAGGACCAGGATTGGACACCCCTGCTCTAGTGTGTATCAATTAAATCAATTCTGGAACAAAAGTCCTCCACAGATGAGATTAAAGCAACAATAAAGATACATCTAAGCTGTGCCTTTCCTTTTTTCTCTCCCTGCAGTGACCACTGACCCTCCGTCAAGTGTGACCGTCAGCCGTGTTGGCCAACTGGAGGACCAGCTCAGTGTTCGCTGGGTTGCTCCACCAGCTCTCAAAGACTTCCTGTTCCAAGCCAAATACCAGATCCGCTACAGGCTGGAGGACAGCCAAGACTGGAAGGTAACAAAACAAATTTATAAGGACATGAATCTGCTCTCTTTGTCTCCAACAAGACAAACTGACACACACACACATCTTCAGCTTTTAAGCTGCTAGGTGGGTTTTAAGTTGAATCTGTCAGAAACTTTTATGAAAACAATAAATCAAAGAAGTCAGGTTTTAATAAAGAGGAAAACGTTGGTCAAATCCACTGCAAACAAGCCTTTTGCAAACCTTTTATGAATGAAAAATACACAAGGAGAAACAGTCTGTCATGCAGATGGAACTTCAGAGAAATCATTTTCCTCAGGATAGGAGGGAGGATTTCATTGTAATTAAGGAGGAATTACACCATGGTAATATAAGCAAGTCCTTACTTGCATAGTTAAAAAAGAAAGGGGGAGTGGAAAAGGCACGGCGGAGGGATGATACCAGTGGAAGGAGGAGAGAGGAGGCTGGAGTCCAAGTGGCTTTAAGGGTTTGATGGTGGAAACAAAGCGCCTCTGAAGCGACCCTAATCATGAGGTCATGCTGAGGAATGGAGGGATACATCTCAGCTGTTAATGTCTTCAATATGGCTGTAAAGATGCTCAGCTGTACCGTCTGCCTGCTTGGCTTCCCCTTCCATCCCATCATTAGCTCTCTGATGCCTGTAATTTACATGTTCTGCTTTCTGTTGGAGTCCTCCTTAACAAGTGTTTACAGACAGGATGCCAGAGAGAAAGTGGGGATTATTAGACAGGATTATTTATCACAACATGTCGTTTTTCACAGTTTCTCTTCAGTTTCTTTCTGCTTTTACCTGTGCATACCCCAGTGTGTGTGTGTGTTTGTGTGTGTGTGTGTGTGTGTATGTGTGTGTGTGTGTGTATGTGTGTGTGTGTGTGTGTGTGTTCCAGCAAATCCAGCTCAGTATTAAATAATAGAGACCAGATTTTTACCCAGCAGGCATGGCTACGTTAAAATAGTTTCATAAACATGCTGATCAGGAGCCACTAAACAATATGGTGCTCATGCATGTGTGGGTCTGCGCCTGGTTTGTGGTTATGTTTTCTGCATCTTGATTCTGCTTCGTATTTTAGTTTATGCCCATACTTTAATACTGTGGTCAGACCTCCAGCGCTCAGCTCTCCTTTCTTTCCTTTGCCGTTGAGGTGATGGATGACGTCGGGAATCAGACGTCTTGTCGCCTGGCTGGACTGAGACCAGGAACGGTGTATTTTGTGCAGGTATGCTTGACTGCAGCCGAGTGGAGAAAATGTGTTAAACAGCTTTAAGTAAGTTTGTTTTGCTTTGATTCTGGGCAGGTTCGTTGTAACCCGGTGGGCATCTACGGCTCTCGTAAAGCTGGGATCTGGAGCGAGTGGAGCCACCCCACAGCGGCTTCCACACCACACAGTGGTGAGCACACACACACACACACACACACACACACACACACACACACACACACACACACACACACACACACACACACACACACACACACACACACACACACACACACACACACACACACACACACACACACACACACATCAGTCATCAAAGATTAGTTTAAAGATCCCTTGAAATCAAGTTTGTGTTTATTGGACAGCAGAAACGACAAATAGTCCTAATTCTGGTGTTCCTGATGAAACGTTGGATTACTTACTGCCATGCACTTGTTGGGACAGTTACAGGGAGGAATATCGTCATTTTAAATCAACTCTAGCCTTAGATAGTTTCATCAACATTCACATCAATTTTGCATTCACTAGTACGACATTTCTTTGTAGCAGAAATTAGCAATAAGGCTAGCAGCTAGCAACTGGAGACAAATTACAAGATTTTTCTGTCAGATTAACATTTAATAAAAACTGATGGAAGGATAAACGTTTGTAAGAGAATGTTGACACGAACTGGAGTGAAATATTTTTGAATAAAGTTAAACCCACTTTGTAACAGTCTCCACTGTCACTAGCTGTTAGCTTATCAATCTGTTCAGAATTAAATGCTATTTCTTCAAACTGAGGTTGTTCATAAATCTCTTCATAAAAACGACATCATGCTGCCAGATTCTTTTTCATATTAAATGTATGGTTCAGATCTCCCATCAAAAGGTTTTGAACGATTAACATCTTACCAGCTGTCGATGGTTCTCTGAAGGGCCTCAATGTGGAGAAACTGAGATTACACCAGACTGGGCAGATGAGTTAATGGCTAATCTGAATGAGGTCAGATCCATTATAACCTCAAACATTTAACATCAACTCATGTAAACATTAAAAAAAAGATTTTAACGTGGAACTCTGTACTTTTTTGCAACTTTTGTAACAATTCAGCAAGAATAACAGCAGTGTGTTATCTTCAGGAGTAATTGCATGAACCAGAGTAAAAATTCTGAGACAGTTTTTTCATTGTGACTAGCTCATCTAACAGGGTTAATCTCTGTTTCTCCAAACTAAGGCCAGCCAAGCCATCTACAACAGGTAATAAAGAAGTACATAGTAAATAAATCTGTCACAGAACCCCACCTTAAAATACTTTTAAGTATCACTTTTTTTGCGTTGAATTTTTATTTTTTGTGCCTTTATTTTCTGAAATGAGATGAATTTCTGCTGAAGGTAGCACAGATGTGGACATATTTATTGTACATTTGGATAAAAAGTTGATTATTTCACCTCTTAGGGTTTTAAAGCCTCTTTCTCTTTTCTTGACTTGGTCCTTATTCTTCTCCCCCACAGAGCGCCTGATGTCGGGCTCTTGCGACTCTAAGTCGAGCGGGGACTCTAACTCCACCCTCCGCCGGGAGCTGAAGCAGTTCTTCGGCTGGGTAAGGAAACACGCCTATGGCTGCAGCAGCATGTCCATGAAGCTGTACGACCAGTGGAGGGTGCTTATGCAGAAATCCCAAAAAACTCGCAACCAGGTAGGTAAGCATCGCTAATGCCGAGAAGAAGCATATGCAAACACACGTTTCCACATAATCACAAGCGGGCGTGCACACATGTCCCACATATACAAACACAAACAAACTGCAAATGATTTTTACAAAAACTGATGTGTAACAGACGTTGTCTATGTTTTAGGTTCTCCAAGGGGATAAATCATAGCACATGCTGGCTTCACAAGCAGAGAAAAGAGAGCGGAGTGAAAGCAGGGTGTGTTTTTGTGTATAAGTGAGAAAAAGAGACTGTGTTCGTATATAATAAAGACAATTTGCTCCAGCCATTTATCGCGGATGCAGAGGCCTCAAGAGGAAATCCAAAGAAAAACTGTGGGAAACAGAATAAAACAACACACAGGTGATGTTTAACTCATTGCGGGTGACCTGTCGTCATGACTTCTCTGCTTCCACGTTGTAGCACGATCACCCCGGACAGCAGTAAAGACTTTTGACATCATTTGACCTAAATGTTCACAGAAGCATTAAAACAATAATCCAGTTTTATCTGAAGTGTTGGCTGAAGCATGAAAGAGTTGTGTTGGTCCAAAGCACCATCTAGTGGCTGTTCAACATCCGTGGATCGTCTTCAGCAACTTTCTGATGTAAAGCAAAGCTCCAGTAACAATCGGTGATGCAGTATTTTAATGAATGCAGTTTTTTTAGGATAACGTGCCAAACTGGTTCTCCCAGTATGTGACTGATGACCTGATGGTGTTTGTGTAGGCTTTAGAAACAGTGTGCTGCCTTGTATATTTTTGTACCAGTATATTTAAAGTATAAAGCTATGTTTTATAAATCTTAAATTATGTTTAGTTAGCAAAGACTGTACAATGACTGAAGCTGTTATCGATCTCCAATGGTGTTCCATAAAAATGCTGCCTGAAACATGAGGTTTAATCATCTTTATTGTGTGTGTGTGTGTGTGTGTGTGTGTGTGTGTGTGTGTGTGTGTGTGTGTGTGTGTGTGTGTGTGTGTGTGTGTGTGTGTGTGTGTGTGTGTGTGTGTGTGTGTGTGTACCACATTAAGAAAGTTGTCATACTTTTAATTTTCATTTGTTTTGTTCCAAATGGCGTGTAATCAGATATGGGGAAAGTCCAATAATAAAATTAATTGGTAACAATATGTATTAATAATAATCAATATTGGATAACATATTCTGATTGGCACCCATAGATTGTTGCTGGTGATTGATATTGGGCATGATTGACTTAATCAGTAATATGAAATGCTAAAAGCAGATTTTTTTCCTGTCCACGAACTCATCATCTCTAATTTCTTAGTCACTCTAGCAATAAAAGATCTGTGTGTTTTTTAAAGTTTATGATTAACGAATTCCTAGTTCATCAGTCCATCATTTATCCTAACAAAGTATGCCCCCCCCCCCCCTCGTTTCAATAAAACATATTCATGTTTGCATAAACCTCTTGAATCAAGAAATAAATATCAAATATATAATTAACGGGTAACTAAATTACAATTTAAAAACATGTTTACATCATTTTCAGGACAACAATAAAAATGTCCGTCGTTTTTGTGAAGACATCAACATGCACAAAATGTACTAAAAAAATAAATGTTGAAATAATTCTAACTCAGGTTTGAAAAGTATTTTTCTGAAATGTTTGTGTTTTTCAAATTTTCTAAGTGTTGAATTCATTTGAATGAAAACGAATGAAGGCGCATGCTGCAAAGCCACAGGCTAACATCTCTGACCCTTATAAAAACGTTTTGGGTATGCCACCTCTGGTCGGACCCATTACATGAGTAATCAGAGTAATCTGATGAAATCAGAAATCCATATCGGCCCACTTAACCACAACCTGAGCATCTCTGCGCTGCGGCAGTTCTTGTTTTTGATCTGTTGGAGCTCCTTTATTTGAGAAGAATCTGGGGAAAAGGTTTACTTCAGAGCTTAACGACATAAACATGCATGCATGCATGGCCCAATCGAGAATTTTATCAAAATTACTCATGAAAATAAACAATTAAAGGGCAAAGACATTGATAAAGTAAAAACAGACCTTTCTGCAATTTTTTTTAAATATCTGTAAAAACTGTTTTGATGTTTATTCAACTAGTTTTAAGTTAGTGGCTGAAAATCTAGCTTTACAGAAAAGGATATATTTGATTTTAGCTTATAAAAGTATGTATGATAACGCAGGTTAAATCACATTAAATGGCACAAACTGGAGCCTAACATTCTGAAACGACACATTTTGAGCCTGCTGCAGAAGTTTGAGATTAAAATGTACTTAATGCTAATTTGACTCTGCAGCTCTGATGAGATGAACTGCACTAAACTATGATTCAGCCAGGCTCTGGCTGCAGACTTGTGTTCCTCTGCGGCAGCAGCAGAAAGCAGAAATCTGAATCTGTTTGTCCTCGCAGCCCCGCCGTCCTGAGCCACATCTTTGAACACCTCTCTGCAGCGTTTCAGAGCTGCTCTGGGAAACTGGAGCCTCTGCATGAGTTTCCCACCCGTACTCAAATCCATCTCCCTCCGCCGACACTTCAGAGTCTTGTTACTGCACCTGTGACTACTCAGTCACTGGGGCTTGAAATTTAAACCAGTGTCGTCTTTTTTCTGGCCTTCCTCTAAAGGTTTTATTTACTTCTGTCTTTGGCAAAAGTTCATGTTTTCAGATGTTTTACCTCAGACTTTTGACACTTTCAGTCTCTCATGGAGACGTTTTTAGTTGAAACGAACAGACACAACTTTTTAAAATTAAGAATATATAAATAACCCTGCATGCATTTCTATAGATTTGCTTTATTTGGCAATAAATATCAAAGCTTTTGAGGCTCCAGGCAGAGAAATCCATCTTCTGAAAGCTTTGCATCGTTGGAAAATGTATTTATTTTTTATTTGAGAAAAAACATGTATTTGAGGTCTGTAGAAAAATGTCAATCACTTCTTTGTCTTTAAAGACTTTTGTTTAAAACAAACAGAAAAAGACAGATGCTTCTTGTATTTTAATCAGATTTTCAGACATTGAAATAGCTGCATTTGGAACCAGCTGCTAAAATACATGCTGGTAGATTTTACAAAACACTTTTCACTTAAAGTTGCCACTAAAAGAATGATTTTAATCTTCATATTTGGTGAGTCTTCCTCTTGGATCATAAAATCAAAACATTATTTCGGTCAGTTTTATTTAAAGGTGTGGTTGACAGAAACATAATCGGTCACGCTGAGTTTTTCATGCAGGCTCAACATGAAAGTAGGCCCAATCCCTATACCTGCACTGCGCCCTACGGTCTTCTGTAAAGTGCACATGGAGGAGGTGTGCACTAAGGCTTCGAGCGCAAGTGTGCAAATAGTTGACGAATTGGGACACGGAGCATTGCGTCATTGATCGCAACGCATGCCAGTATGTTGGTCGCTGTGCTGCCCTTTTAAAAAAGTCTTTATTAACAACTTTCAAACAAACAGCCAAACAATTATTTGAAATACATTTACATTCATTGCTGCTTTGTCTAAAACCTTCAGAGCATCAACTCATCATTCTAAAATGAACAACTTTCATTTGAAAATACATACTTTCAAAAAAGGCACTTGAGCGTTTTCTCTCGCAGCCAGGGCCAGATTAACACTTTGTTGTACCCTGGGCAACAATATTCAAGGGCCCCATCATCACGACCCAAGGATCACCATAATATGGTCACATACAGAATATTTTACTGTAATATGCAGGAAATATACTCAATACTTGAATGCCTGACATCACGTAACCCGCTCAGGGTAACCTTTGACCCACTTCATGTAGACTGACCAATGAGGAGAGGGTCTTAACTTGGGACTGGGATTGGGCCATAGTCTCCTACACCTATCTCCTGCATTAGCTTCTGATAGATAACAGATGGTGAAACTCTAGGATTTGAGAGTCCTCACAGATCTACATCACACTGTGAATCAGCATTCATAGACTCACCAATCTCGACTCTCAACGGGAAAGGCTGTTGTTGGATTAACATCTGGCAATCAGCAGCAGTAGTTTTGGCTAAGTGTTAGCATTAGCAACACCACCACACGGCAGAAGCTCCTCCAGGCTTGAGTTATTTGTGGAGATAAAACATCCACGTTGCAGGTCAGTGACTTGTTGCTGTCATCTAATAGGGGGTGAGATGAACAAATATCAGGAAATAAGACTCCAAAACCCGCCATCTCAAGCTCAGCTGTGATGTGGACAACTTTTAGGTCAGAAATGGTGCACCGGTATATTTTTTCCCCTGAAAAAGACTTACAAGGCATTCGTTCCTACTAGAAACCACTGCAGATGTATTGATTAAACGCGTAACCCAGTCCTTTAATGTTGGTTTTGTATTTATATGTTAGAAAACCTGATTTTACAACAAAGTTTGACTTTGACAGTTGTAGCCTCCGTAAATGGTCTGTTTTTCCATCTACAGGTCGACCTCTTCAGTATCGGGTCACAGGGAGACATAAGTCTTAACTGGGGCTTTAATCTGCTAGAAAGATACTGTACTTGCCCAAGGTCCCTCTTATCTAAGACTGCTTTGCTTCACAGCACAAGACAGATGAACGTTCATAATTAAATCATATAATGAACAAAATGAGTAAATAATCATATGGTTGAAGGAACAATAATGGTTGAATAATAATAACAGTGGTTTGATTAATCTGTGTTTAAATTACTGAAGTTGAAATGAATATTATTATGTTATGATCAGTAAAGTTAGATTTAACAAGTGAATCACCATCTACTGACAGCTCACACACTCAGACACGTGACGATGACAAGGTTAAACTGATGTCATGACAGATTGCTTTCGGTTCCACCAATCAGAACTCCTGTATCTGACGCAAGGCGTGCTTTCTGAGATTTGTTGGTAAAACCCTTTTTACATGTCAAATTCTGATTCGTTAGTAAATAAAAAATATGACGATCATTAAAACAGAGCTCGCTTCACCGTGAGTCAGTTCTTGAGAAAGCTTCGGACCGGCCATCCGGAGCGAAACCTCTTTAACCTAGAGCATCCTTTTACAAGCTGTCAAAAACCTGTTGCACGCTACAGCTGACCTCAAACGGTTCCTTCAGAATGAAGCTGAACTACCTTCGACTCCTTAAGACGCCTTCCATAGAAATAAATAACTACCTGTTGTGACCTGGAGACATCCCGAGACCGGTTTAGTGGCACTGCAGTTGATTCTACAGACTTCGGTACCTTTGGGGGCTTACGGACTTCCTGACATTCCAGATCTACGAGCTGGTACGTAGACTCGACAGAATGCATCTGATGTGGTTTTATAAACCATCAACTTAGATTTTATAGCAGACCAAATTCACTCCCACTCAGAACTCAGTTTCTTCAGGTACGAGAGGTTCTGATAGCATCACATCCACACATTGTCATGTTTTGGGGTAAGTGTCCAACCCAATACATACAGAATCAAGCACGGAGACGAGGTAAAAGAAGAAACAATAATTTTATTTAAATGAGGAGGTGAACTGAGGGCGTACTGGAGATCCAGCGGGAGGAAGAATCCGGAAGCGGTAACTAGAGGAAAACCAGAGGTGAGTAATGGGAATTGTAGTCCAGATGGACTGTTTGAAGGTGGAACGATGAGGAAGTTCAGGATGAGCGTGGAGGGGAGATGAGCCAGGGTGATATCCAGAAGAGACTTGTGATAATCAGAGTGGGTGAGTGGAACGGACGAGGTGGATGAGTACGAGGCAGTGGAGAGAGAGCGTGACCGGTGGAGAGCGGGGCGGCTGGGCGGAGTAGAAATCCAGGCAGCAAACCGGTGAATAATCCTTATGACTCGGAGACGGGAGAGGATCCAGCGATGAAGCAAGTCTGTGGGTGAGTATCCAAGCAGAAAACAAGTTCAGGTTAAAACGAGTTCCAAAAATGTTTCAAAACAAGACGAGGTTCAATATCACTAAGAGGCTAGAGTCTACCAGGCAGTAGTTAATCATCCGGCGTCGAGTGAGGATAATCGTCCTCCTTTTAAAGCCGCCCCGCTGATCAGGCTGATGAGGATCAGCTGCGCTCCCTCTCCTGCAGGCAAAAACTCATCGATGGTGAGATGATGGGCAGAGTAGTCACCCCGGCTCATGACACACATCATGACACCTCACATTCCATCCACCTAGATTCATTCATCACTTAAAGTGTCCTAGTTGTCATGTTTTTAATTGTTTAGAAAATACATTTCTTACCTTTTATAAACCTGACTCTGTCTGAACTGGTACGAAGTGCTTTTGATCACTGACAAAACGAAGAATCCTAGAATCTCCTGATTAAACATTCAAAGACGAATAAGGTTGATATCCTCTATTTATATAGAGTATCACAGCTTATTGGTCATAAGTAAAGGTAATATATTAAGCTTAAAAGCAACAATATTTACCCCGTCTACACAATCATGCATTCAAGGAATATGCAACACAGGTAAATGTGTGGGTAGCTACTCCAACATTAGTGCCAAAAAAGGAGAGTACATCGCTTCAGGGCGCTACCCACGCGTTTAGCTGTGTTACTCATTCCATCAATGCCTGATCCTTTCAAATTATACCTCATTGTGAAGGTACTTAGTCAGGATTTCCAATAAATTAAGTACAACTTATATAATTTAGACGATAACTGATTGCCTTAAAAAAATACTTCCACATTTTTTTTAAATTTATTTAGCAGAGAATGTACTCACATGTCTCTAAAAATAAAACAGTTATATTTAAGAACACTTGATCATATATTCCTCTATTTTCCTTCAGAAAAACAAATGAGTGGAGATTAGAAAGGACTGTGGGATAAAGCTTTAAGTATTTACCTGCTTATATAACCCTCTCAGGCTCAAAATAAGTTTTGATAAGAGGACGAATAACTCAGTCCTTCAGGGGTACTTCTGAGTTAAAAAATGCTCATGAAATACGTATGTGGAGTAGCCAGGTAGGTAGGTTTTAACTGTTGCAAACCTGCAACGCCTGCCTGCAGAGGGTTAAATATTCATTCTGCTGAAATCTAAGTGTCACTGGTGAGGCGAGGTTTATTGCTCACCAGTCCATGATGGTTTACACAGCAACTCTCAGGCTGTCACCTGACACAGCGGGCAGCGTGCGTCCTTACATTTTTAACAGCGTGTTAATTGGAACGCCATCACAAGCAGCTCACATGTAAGACTCCTGCTGTGGAGAAGATTCAGAAGGTTTTTAAGAGTTTGAGACAAAACGATCCGTTTTCCTCCAGATGAACATGTTTCGTGCATCATTAATTGAGATAGACTTTGTGTTTTTGACAAAAGGAACACGATACGTTCTCATTTGGGTTCTGATTTTTCCACCAAGTTCTTGCCACGAAAGAACCTTTGAGATAAAGGGGCGTTTCAAAGCCGAGATAGAATTTCTTCACCGTTTAATCATGAATTATTCAGAACAGGAGGCTGCGGCTCACCTGGAGAGAGCAGCACAAGATAAGGCTGTGTCCTAGAGGACAGGAGACAGAAAGAGGGAGAGCAAGGGACGAGGACGAAGCTGGAGGAGCATGGAGGAGGTGGTGAGGAAACGACCAATAATCTCTGCAAAAGAACGAGGTCAGTGTGTGTATGTGTGTGTTCACATGGATTGTATTAAAGCCGAGCTGGTTTCACCATGAAATCTCTCACAGCATCACAAAGTCGTTGCTCCACACTTGTTTGAGATTCCTACTTTGTTTAGAATTCGTTCCCAAACAACAGAGGAAGAATTTAAAATGCATAACCATAGAAAATAAGTCAAAGAGCTCCATATGGAAGTGATCAGAGACGATGCAGCCGGAGCCACAGAGCGGTGGGTGTGCAGCACCGCTGCTCCGAGCTGAATCTGTTGCATCATTTCCATCACTGTCCTCCTCCTCCTCCCACTCTTACTCACTGTCAGGTCCTGGTCCTGGACGCTACGGTCTGCCCCCTACAGTCGGATACATGAACCATGACTTCACCAAACCCAGCAGCCCTGCTTACTCCTTCCACAGCCGCATGAGCAGCGCTAGTGAGTTCACCTGGAACCTCTTGGAGAATTCAGATATTTCACCTTTTCTGTCAGAATAAAAAGATGTTGATGGTTTTAGTGGAATTCTTTTTTCCACAGTGGTGTCTGTAGACTCCAGTCCCGGGCCAAAGTACCACGTTGGTGGCCAGGTGACTCGGTTTGGCCGAATCGAGTCACCGTCCTACTCCATTAAAGGCAGAGGAAGACGAATTGTGAATAAAGGTAATCAAAACAAAAAGTAATCCCAGAAAATATTTTAGTTTTCCATAAATATTTCTATCATTTAGTTTGATAAAGTGCATCTTGAATAAAGTGAATTTTCCCAAACATCTTAGAAGATCTGAATCAAACTCCTGGACCAGGATCCTACAGCCCAGAAAGAGCCCCACCACTCAACTCTCAAAGGCCTCCATGCTACACAATCGGGACCCGAACAAGATACCGCTCTGCAGATCCGGTACCTGGACCCAACCGGTGAGGTTAGGAGGACAAACTGATATGGTTTAAAGTGTAAATGATCATCAGCTGTAATTATCAAAATGACTTAAAACACAATAGATTGGAAATCATCTCTTGAATGAAAAAGCTAAATGTACCATTTCCTGTGTTATTCGTTATCATGGTGACAAATGAACCACTGGCAGCAGGTTTAACATTTCTGTTGTTCTTTTTTATGCAGTTTATCCACCATAACTTTGGGGTTTTGTCCTAATTTGGATTTTTACTAAATCAAGTCCCAAATTACAAACAGGAGTTAAAACTGAGACGTGTCAAAATTTGAATTTCAGGCAGCAGCTGCGTTAAAATTCTTCATGGTGATGTTTAGTTGGTAAGTTGGTTCAATGGAGGTCTGGTTTTGTGAAGAAAACAGAGAAGCGACTTGAGAAGAGACTATTAATTAAAATTTAACCAAGTGTTCCTTAGACCGTGTCCACACTCCCTTTCCTGCGTGTATGTAACCACAGATGGGCATCGGGATCCAAGCACAGTCTCTGGTTTCACATTAAATAACCTTCCCACAAAGCCTGCTGCTGTAAATAAATGAAGCTTCCTCTTTTTATATGAGAAAAAACACAAAACCAAGGCAGGTGAACACAGGGAATACCAGTTTGATGTAATATTCCGGTCTTTCATTCACCAGGTACACACTTCCAGACCTGATGGGCCCTCAGATTCCACACAAACCCTCCAGCGCCAGTTACAGCTTCTCAGGCCGTAGGAAAGTTGGTGCTCCCTCTGAAGACCTCGCCAAGACACCTGGACCAGGACAGTACGGCAGCACCAACCCGGACATCTACAGACAGCGACAGCCATCTTTCAGCATGCAAAGCCGAACTAAAAGGCTGAGCTATTCCTCGACCGTTCCCGGACCGGGCGCCTACAGCCCGGAGAAGACTTACGGACAACTGCACAAGTCCCCTTCCTTCAGCATGGGCATCCGGCACTCTGAGTTTGTTGTTCCACTCATGGTGCATGCGATAGAGTAATAATGCAGAGGATCTACTGGGATGTTTTTCACATTGTGACACTGACATACCTTAACATTTGTAAACCAACAAATTCAAAGTTTAATTGAAATGAAGACTGTACATTGGACAAATGACACTTTTATAAATAAAACAGAACATTAACAACTCTGGTTAGCATTGTTTGTGCAGATACATACGCTTCATATAAATACAACAAATTTTGGTTGTGTGTACATTTATAAAACAAATAGACCTGTACACAAGTCTTTATGGCTTTGTCTTTGATATTGTTATGTGTACTGGTGAGCTCCAGTCGCTGCAGTGCCCCAGGTCCAGCATTTCTTTCGCACACACCTGGAACCGGTAGGCCCTCCCTGGCATCAGCCCCTTCAGCTCCACCTTGGTGCTCTCAAATGGACCCAGCTGGAAAACAAAAGATGCATTTGTCAGAAGGTGCTGTAACGTTTCACACATTTAGATCTTTACACATTCCTGCACAGGACACACACATAGTGTTTATGTTGAAATAAATGTCCAGTCTGGTTTATGTCAGACAAACAAAAGGGCCTTTATGGATGGAACTGAAAAAGCACCATTCTGTTTCATAAGAGGAGCCAGTTGAGGTGGCTCGGACATCTGGTCAGGATGCCTCCTGGACCCCTTGCTGGTGAAGTTTTCCAGGCACGTCCAACCAGAAGGAGGCCTAAAGGACACGTTGGAGGGACTATGCCTCTCACCTGGCCAGGGAACGCCTTCGGATTCCCCCTGAAGAGCTGGTCCAAGTGGCTGGGGAGAGGGAAGTCTGAGCCTCTCGACTTAGGCTACTGCCCCTGCGACCCGACTCCGGATAAGCGGATGAAAGTGGATGGATGTTTCATAAGACTACATCATGTTTATAGTCATGATAAGATCTAGCTGTCGTGGTTGATCATGATATTTTATGATTTTCCACGTTTCCTGTCCGTATTGTTCTGATTTTATGGGTTTGTTACATTCAAAGGTGCGTTTGCCTTAAGAATTAGTCACTTATTTCTGCTTTATTTTGTTGTCTGCCTCTCTTCACTCGCCTCTTCATTTACGTAAGATAATTTTTTACCAATATCGCATTTTCGCTGCTTAAATGCTAAAAGTGATCAATTTAATTGAATCAGTAAACATGTTGCCAACTCTAGATTCTCTAAATTCACAAGAAGTCTCACTACTGTCTAACAAGACAAAGAATGATCTACGATTTTATGTCAGAGTCTCCAGATGTTTCAGGAAAAACCAGAAATGGCTTTGAAAAGGCTCTGAATACTTAAGGAACACTGAATTATCTTATTGAAAAATCTCAACCAGGAAGCCCATGAACTATTTACCCTTCTTCCTTCAGGCAGAAACCTGAGCAGTCTCACAGGCCTGAGGAGCCGCTCCTTCCCTGTCTTCATCCCTATAGCCATCCTCTATCCTTTAGCAAAACAATGGAGTTTATTCTTTGTTATGCTCATTCTGTTCTTCAAAAATGGAAAGTGTTTTTTGTTGACTTTATTTTAATGACTTATAACGTGAATTGTTGTGCCACTTTCTATTGAATCTCAAAAGTTTTTAAAGGCACACTTGGCAGTTTTGCTTGCTTTTAGCTCCCCCTAGTGTCCGTTTGGTAAAACCAACACCTTAATCTAACTACTGAAATGTCTCCCCAGCCTTCATTAGTGTCTACAGGAGTTATCATCACTAAATGAAATGAATCAACTGTGTTTATGATCTAAAGCATGCAGAAAATGTGCTGGAAGCAGACTGCAGCGCCAGGTATGTCAGTTCAATTTTTTTTCTAAGTCCAACAGGTTGGACAAACACTCTACAGTTGCAAGTGCAATATTCTGGCCACAGGGGGAGGTGGGGGTCTGAGTGACCTTTCATTAACCTTGTAAAGGTTTTAGACATCAAATCTTGGATGGCAGGAAACTTTCTACAGCTCAACCAGGACAAAACTGAAGTTTTAGTTATCGGTCCTGAGGCCCAGAGAGAGAAACTTTTACCAAAATTACAATCACTGTCTTTTAATCCATCTTCACAAGTGAAGAACCTGGGTGTCATCTTTGACTCTGAGCTGACGTTTATCCATCATATTAAAAATATCACCAAAATAGTTTTTTTATCATCTAAAGAACATCGCCAGAGTCCGCTCCATTCTCTCTCGGGCCAATACGGAGACGCTGATGCCTGCTTTTATCACCAGTAGGATAGATTACTGCAATGCCCTGCTTTCTGGTCTTCCTAAAAAGAGCGCTTCAGGTCTACAACTGTTACAAAACTCAGCAACACGTGTCCTGACGAAGACCAGGAGGCCGAAGCACACACACACCAGTTTTAGAATCACTGCATTGGCTCCCAGTATGTTTCAGGATTGATTTTAAAATACTTTTAACGGTTTTTAAGTGTCTTAATGGTCTTGGGCCTTTTTATCTTTCAGAACTGCTTTTACTGTATAAACCCACACGGTCCCTGCACTCCTCTCTGGCAGCCGTCTCCCTGTCATCCCTAAAGTCAGGACTCATATTCATGGTGAGGCGTCCTTCCAGTACTACGGTCCTCACCTCTGGAACGAGCTGCCAGGGGACCTCAGGGCCACAGAGAACGTTCATGTTTTTAGAAACAGGCTCAAGGCCCATCTTTTTAGCTTAGCTTTTAACTGATTACTATTACTTTTAAAATAAATAAATTTATTAGTTAGGTTATTTATTTATCAATTTATTTATTTATTTATTTTATGTATTTATTTCAGAGTATTTATTTATTTATATATTTTTTAAACCATAGATTTATGATCAACATTATTTTAATATCTATATAACTTTTTATATTACAATTTTCATTTTAGCACTTATTATTTTATATTTTAACCTTAATTTAACCTTTTTCTAGTGTTTCATCTGTGGGAGCCCTCTGCCCTGGGGGCGGTGGTCAGCTGTGGCGGCCTGGGTGCTTTCCAGGTGTGCCTCGGTGGAGGTGGGGGTCTCCGCCCTCCCTGTCCTGGGCGCCCTGTGGCTGCTTGGCTGCTGCTGTGGATCTGCTGCTGTAGGGGCGGATGGCTCCCCTGATGGCGTTTCTTTATCTTAGCTGGTCTGGCTCATCCAAACTCAGTCCATTGTGTTTTTTCCATGGGAGGTGTGTGTGTGTGTGTGTGTGTGTGTGTGTGTGTGTGTGTGTGTGTGTGTGTGTGTGTGTGTGTGTGCGTGTGTGGTGTGTGCGCCGGAGGATGGATGTTGTGAAGGGGTTTTTGTTCTCAGACTGGTTTTAAATTCTGGGGATGGGAGGGAATGTGGGTATGCGGGGCCTTTTTAATTTGTTAAGAACTTTGAGTTACATGCATTGTATGATTAAGAGCTATATAAATAAAGTTTGATTTGATTTGATTTAAAGGGTAATTTTAGCACATACTGGCTTGAGAAAATAATTTTAAAATATGGAAAAGTTGCATAATATGGCTTTGAACTAAATCAAATTCTTCATTATTAACTTACTGAGTTTTCAGAATTTTGAAGTGACTTGATGCAATTTGCTGGGTTCCTTTTATAGGAAACTGTTTTCTGATTGGCTTAATGAACTGACCTGGATTGGAATGTTTACTTAGTGAAGTGCCTTGAGACGACTCTTGTTGTGATTTGGTGTTATAAAAATAAACTTGAATTGAAAATTGAATTAAATGAACATAAATAACACATATAAAATTAAAGTGCGTGAAAACAGAAATGTTAAGTTCCTGAGTGGCTTTAAGACTTCGATTCCTGAAGTGAAAGTAGAATTCAGTGGTTTCAGCTAAACAAGTAATTGCAATAAATTACAAAACCACAGCTGCAAAGGGGAATTCTGACAGATTTTAGGAAATTTTCAACTTTTACAGTTGATCTGTGTCTATTTTTAGGTTTTATATCACTTTGCTGCTGTTGCAACACCTTTTACCTTGCAAATGTTTTGATGGGAATATTTTCTTACATTGACAGACTTTGGGGTTCCCCTGTTTTCCCACTGGTACAGTAACTGGTACTTGAGAGGGAAGATGTCCAGGCTTGTCCACGTAGGAGGTGGAGACCATTCCACCAACAGGTTTTTGACATTGTGAGGGGAAACTCGGACATCAACTGGAGGATTGGGTTTCACTGTAGATAAACAACACCGACATGTCTTTACAGGACGTAAGCATCACACCTTTATTATCAGTTTTAAACAGGTAATGATGTAAATTCTCACCAATGTCCTCCAGCATGAAATTTTTTACATAGGAGCTGCTGCCACCAGAATGGACAGCCGTGATGTTGATGGTGTAATCTGTGAGAAGTTTCAGGTTGGGAAGGTGACAGTGCCACAGCTGCAGAATGGAAATATATTCTTTTCATACACCCATTTTATGCATTGAATTTTAGATGTTAAATAATGTTCAAATATTTAACAAATTCATAAAATGTTGACTGACCATGAAATTCATGTTAATTCATCAAAAATTAAAGATTTTTGGCGGGAACTCCAAATATAAAACTAACAGCTGCAGACAGAGTTTGACGCTTAAAGGTGCAGGAAGTAAGAATCACATCCTGTGGTCAGATTTGGGTACTGCAGTCCATGTATCAAAACAAACAAGTCCTATCTGAGCAACTGTTGCCAGTTATGGATCAGCACCACAAGAGTCTAGATGATTGGTGAAGACGAGTCATGCACAGTAAGTTAGGTAGATAAATGCATTTCACATTGACATCGAGTTGTTGGTTGAAAAAGTAGCTTCAGATATTTTTAGAGCTGACTATTGTTAGCTCAACATTAACCTCTAGCCTACTTCACTAGAAGTACTCACTGTTTGTTTAGAGTAAAACAAAAAGATGCCGTAGCTTTTTAGGAGTACAAATGGGGTGATCATTTTATAGACTTTTATTCTGGCCACAGCACTATCGCATTTTGATGGCCAGTGTCAAATTACAAATGTTGGCGCAGACTTGGCAACCCCCATGGACTTACATATGATTGGTTCTTGAACCAGGAAGTATGGAGTCAGGACGGAATGTAAACAATGGCCATGTTCGAGATGAGGCAGTTCTGCGGAGATTAGATCATCGGTGATCGGCGCTCAGTGCATGCCGGTTGCATTTGTGTCCAACTTGACGCCGACTTGCTCTGACGTCATGCCTCTGTAGGCAACGATATCCTCGTGAGAACATGGCGGCCGCAGATTTTGGAGCAAGGCGCTGCAGTTGCTCTCCACCAGTTGCAAAACTTAGGGCATGGCGGGAAATACCTGGCTCTCACCTGATCTAAGATCTGATTGGTTCACATTTTGGTCCAAACATCCGGTGGTAGAATGCAAACTGTTAGTTGGTCACATGTATTCTGTAAATCATGTAACTTTGATGATGACAACTGTATGGGCCATAAAGAGAAATGTGATTTGTTTTCTTTTGTCACGTTTCCCATGAGCACACGAAAACTACGGCTGATAACCTTAACTTATTATTACAGTCATATCTCCACATACAATATATGATATCCACAAGCATGTGAGGATATGTTTCGGTTGCTAACAGGCAGAAGAATTAAAATAAAAATTAAACAAGTATGAACGCTAACGCGATATCTTCATCAACCGTCACCCGTAAGCTACACATGTAGGGAAATCTGTCCGATTTAAACGCCGGATTTCAGCCACTCCCCCGCTGCGTACGTCTGCTCTTGTCTCTTTTCCAGGCGAGGCGCTGCTCAACTCGAACAAGGCTAATGACAATGTAACCTTCCTTCTAACATGACTGAGCCATTAGACTGTTTTGTGATTATTTCACTGTAAAACATTTACTTATTGTACCTTTAAACGTGTAATATATTTATTTATTTATTCTTTATTTAACCAAGAAGGTCCTATTGAGATTAAAAACGGGGAGTCCTGGATAAATGTGTTTCTATAAATAAAAAATCGAATTTTGGTTTAATTTAGGATACAATGTCACTAATCTACCGGAGGTGTAAATAAATCAGTACCCGATGGGAGGCCGGTGGTGCAGCCAGAGGCCAGGATGAAGAGCCAGGTGGGATTAGATGACAATGGCTGATGCTAGCATGTTGGTGCCTCTCTCTGTTAAAAAACAAAAGAATGCTGAAGGGAGCCTGTCACACTAAAAGGGGTCAGTGCACTCAAAATTTACCTGTAGGTGGCGATGTAACGTGTCGGAGTGGAGTTGGAGGGTTGGGGCCAGGAGCAAAGCGTAGTGTTGGGATAACTGGAACACCAGCAGGACACAGTGGGAGCACAGGGAGGATCTGACAGCAGAAAGGACATTTAACCACATTCAATCCTGCCAATCGTGATGTTTACAGATGACACAACTATTGTAGTTTGGCCTCCTGTGGCGACGAGCCCCACAGAGGGAAGGTAGAGGAGCTTGCATCGTTCATTTAGCAACGACAAAAGAGATCCTCCTTTTTCCAGATGAGAACATTAGCTACTTGCACTAATTTATTCTACAAGTCAGACCTTTCGCTCCTTTAGATGTTTCATATGCAGAAATGCTGCATACCTATATACATGTATCACAAAAACATTACACATAACAGAAATTAAGTTTTTTCTTTCAGACTCACCTTTGGGTGTTGCAGTAGTTGTCAGCATGTCCAACGCTTGACTTCCCAGAACAAAAACAAGGAATGCAACCATGACAGACCCTCTGTAGAACATTTCAGCTGCTTCCAAAGTGATCCTACTAACAAAAAATCTGTCTTTATTTTTCAGTTAAACGTTATCTTTCTATGTTTTGATCTGCTGCTCAATTTTATACTAGATTGTATTATTACCTATCAGTAGAGTTAAAGAGTTGAAGCTGATGCTGACCCAGGAACAGCTGTTATGTGTGTGTGCTCCTCAGAGCCCTAAATAACACTTATCACAAATAGAAAGAGGAAGTTTTTTTTTTACAGGAAATCCTCTGGTTTCTTTATGTCACAAACACAATCACACTTAGTTTTTCCATACTTGTGTCAAACAAAAGTTTTTTATTTATTTTTGTAAGATATATTTAAAAAAACTGACAAAAGCATAAAACATTCAGAGGGAAAATGTTTCAAAATGATAAACAGTAAAGAAAAAACTTATGACATCACCTGTGTGCTTTCAAGTACTTTTCTGCAAGTGCAGCAAGCAGATTTTTAAATAATATCCACATGAAAAGTAAAGGATGCCCAGGATAATCTTGTTTATTAAAAACAATATCTAATACACAGTCCAGCTGTTCAAAGGTGTTTAAAATGGTCTTTGTGAGGCCATGAGATCTTCTTAGGGTTCCATCTAGAGACGGAAGGGCTGGGAAGGCTCCAGTTCACCGCTGGAGTTACATCTTTGGGAATACTGGTAACGGGAATTCCTCCACCAGAGGTCCGTAAAGAGGTGAAGGCCTTACTGATCCAGCTGTATTTTGCTTCCTGGAGATCACTGGTCAGAACTGCCTTCTGGTGCTCGAGATCCTGGAGGACGACACAACAGTGTGATCCAAAACTGTTCTACGGAGTTTAACACAAAAAGATGAACTGGAATTCAAAGTTATATTTAAATGGTGGAAACTGATGCCATGTCCCTGCTGCTACCTGGCTATCATGATCAGGTGTCTTCAGAAAAAAGCTGAACTTCTTTGCCACCTCTTTAAAATGGGACAAATTTAGCGAATCCCTGTCATTGCATCTTTTTGTGTTGCCTTATGGGTTTCTACTGCCTCTATGAACACTCCAAACACCAATAAAACCCATCCGTACATGTTTTGTCAGATTCTTGTTTCAGGAATCCTGTTATTATATGTCATTTGAAAATGTCCCTTATTGTGATGTCACAATCAGGAAAACTATCATGGAAACACCCCTCGTCGGTTGACAGTTGGGGAGGCTTCTGTCCTGGGCATGAAGGAATCATGTATAAACAACATTGTACCCCTTTAAGTTAGCATTACACAAGTCAATTATGTTCAAACACAATCCAATTATGTAGAAACAAATGGCGCCCGCAAGGGGTGGCCAGGGGTGGCCATGGCCACCCCTGAAAATAGCTGGGCCCCTCAGCAAAAGCCAGTGTTAATAGATCATATTAATGTTCACTCAAACCATAAATTGATCTTATTTATTCAAGACATAATTGTAAAACAAAACAAAAATTATACAATTAATTAGTGAAGAAATAATCAGAATTAAATTAAATACATATGTTTCTGCTGCTCACCATTTAAAACAAGTCATTATCTCCATAGTTTTTTGTGAACACAGCATCAGGTGAATTAAACTAAAAAAATACATTTTAGAATAAAATTTGAAATAACATTTAAAAAAAACTGAAATGTATTTTTCTGAAATGTTTGTGTTTGTAAAATTTAATTTAAATGGGTAACACTTTACAATAAGGTACACAAAATTATGCTTCGTTACTAGGGAACGACTTAGGGGGTAATGAGTAATGAACCAGGGAAGAATAGGTAATTAACCAGTAGTTACTGGTGAAAACACTCATCAGTCTTTTTTCAGGGTGTAATAGGTAGTTAACCAGTACTTACTGGTAAACACCCAGTAGTCTTATTCAGGGACTAATAGGTTGATATCTATGAACGCAATGAGGAATGAATCCCAAATGAATTTAGTGCCTGTGGACTCTCTTTTGTAAACTCCATGAAGAATTCAGAGAATTTGCAAAATCACAGTGATTTAACATCACTGTTTCATCTTGATTTCACTCGTCTGTCACTTCGTCGTCCATCGTCAGTATCCGTCCATCTTGAGATGATGGAAAGTGAAGCCTCCTCTCAAGTACCTACTCAGGATCAAATCTGTACCTACTAGGTACTTAACCATTACCTACTGCTTTTGTCTACCTTAAAGTGAAGCCTCCTCCCAAGTACCTACTGAGGAACGAATATGTACTTACTCAATTCTTAATCATTACTTGTATATTGTTACACAGCCATTTACCATCAATACATTGAGCATTTTCACACATCATTTTCTTTCATCCTGTGTGTCGTAATATTCCAGAGATGGGTGACCAAAATCCTGCAGGTTACAGTGTTACCTGGCTCAAATCAGTCACTAATGTTCAATGTTTAGGGTACTTTTTAAATAATCAGAAATGTACACAAAATTTACTTTTACATTTATAAACTTTGAAATCAACATGTAAAAACACTCTAAAATTACCTATTCTTCCCTGCTTCATTACTCAGTACCCTCTAAGTCATTCCCTAGTAACAAAGCACAAATAGATAAATACCTATTAGTCTCTGAATAAGACTGCTGGGTGTTTCCCAGTAAGTATTGGCTAACTAAGACTGATGAGTGTTTTCACCAGTAACTACTGGTTAACCACCTCTTCTTCCCTGGTTCATTACTCATTACCCCCTAAGTCGTTCCCCAGTAACGTAACCGAGCACAATTTTGCGTACATTATTGTAAAGTGTTACCGTTAAACGTTTTGGATATGAACAGTTTTTATAATACAAACAAATAAAGGAATAAAGGAGCAATGCAATACCCAAAGTTAACACAAGGACCAATTTGGTGTGCCACCCCAAAAAATTCATTGGCCCCATCTGGCCACCTCTATCAAAATTTTCTGGAGACGCCCCTGGTAGAAACTACATGTAAGGAATAAGCAACTTGAACAAACAGAAGACTTCCATTTTTTCAGTGTATGAATCAACTTTTAATTTCTTGGAAATTTGTCCAAGTTATCAGGAATCGTCAATTCTATTCTACTTTATGTTTTTAATGCTTGTGTTGTATGTTGTTCCTACTTCTTGGCACAAAAACACACAGAGACCTTTTGTTCTACAGGACTTATTACCTGGATCTTGCACTTGGCCTCCACCATTTGTAGTTTTGTCTGAACCAGCTCCCGCTCCAGTTCCGTGATCTGAGCCTTAAGGAATTCCGTCTCCTGGTTCCCTTTCATCCCATCATCCTGTGAGGGACCTCTGTTGGTGTCCTCCATGTCTTTTTCAGTCACCTCTCTGCTGTTTGTCTGCACGGCTTCCTCAGAGTTGTGTTCTGGAGGGACTGATTCTTCATTGTGTCGACAGCTGGGGCACGCCTTCATCGTACTCTGTGAGATTATAGGACAAGGTATATGAAGAGGACAGTGAGATAAATACCTTTTATTTTACAAATAAACCCTGTTACATTACTCAGATATTGCACACCTAAAATATTTTTGAGTTTTTAAAAAGTTGCCAATTGAAGGCGTGAACCCATCATACATCTAAACTAAGTTTTGATAGAAAAATATTTGAAATTTGTTTTGGTCAAACCTTGAACTTTGTGCAGTTTGACACTTTTGCACGATCTTGTAGAAACTGGAGTGTGTGCTGAGAATGATTCATGTCTACTGCTACACCTAATTTGAACTCAGTTTAAGAATGACGTGTAGAAAACTTTGATTGCTAAGTCTGAACAGCTGTGACGGCCATATTGAATCAAGTTAACGCCATGTTCATATACTAATTACTTTGTTAAATTTCCACTAAAATCACTCAAGAGAAGTTTAACTAACAAACACATGGACACACACAGATGAACAACAAAACCCACCTTTCACTTGTCAGCTACAAGCCATGTTAAAGACCAAGTTCACTTTTAGTTTTTTTTCAACACATTTGCAGTGGTCTCTAGTTTCAGTGAATGCCTTGTGAGTCGATTTCTGTGGGAAAAAAAGATCTGGTGCTCCTGTTTCGACAAGTTTCGATATTTGAAAATCTTGCCTCTGATTGGCTAACAGCAACGCGACCCTACGACTGACTCTATTTGCTTTGTGTTGGGTATTTTTATAATTGTACCTTTTTGAGACCTAAAAGATGCCCATTACACATCATGAATCTCTGTGTAAGGTTGAGCAAGGATGTTAATTGAGAAAACTCTGTACCTCTGTAACTTGAGAAGGCCCCGCCTTCTCCCCCCACCCTTTGCTTGAATAAAACCACTGCAGACTCTGAGGACTGGGGAGAGTCGCCTGGCACCATAGCTCTGGAGAGAGTTATGTGTCATTTCGGTGATCTCCCCCTCATTTGGCTAATTCAGTGTAAAATGTCTTCCGTGTTGTCATGTGTGTTTATTTCAGGTTCCAGGGTTATGGAGGTTAAATATTATCTAACAGATAATTGGAGAATGCAGATATACAGAGCTGGTGAGGAGAAAGCTTTGAGGCTGGAGCAGAGTGGGGGCTGGTTGAGCCACACACATGGACATTACAAATAATCAATTTACTCTCTCTCTCTCTCTCTCTCTCTCTCTCTCTCTCTCTCTCTCTCTCTCTCTCTCTCTCTCTCTCTTCGGGTGTGTCGTCCTTTAAGGTAATATGGGATAAAATCAAATTACCAATCACTTTGCCATGTTGATGTTTTATTTTCACAAACAACACAAGCCTGGAGGGGTTCTGCCTTGTGGCGGAGCTGCTAATGTTAGCGGTTAGCTTCTACTAGCCGATACGTGCCCTGCTCTCTCTTCCCCGTTGAGAGCCAAAATGAGTGACTCCGTGAATGATTGCTTTCAGTGTTGCATCAATCTGTGGGGCTTTTTCTGACCCGAGCTTTTCCCCGTCTGTTTTCTATGCAGGGATTTGGGGTAGAAGACAATTTTTATGTTCAGCTTGCATGTATAACTCAGCGTGACTGATCATTTTGTAAATTAACAAGCAAAAATGTTTTTAAGTGAACTTGGGCTTTAAAGAGGTTTGCTAAACACAAAGATGTGTCGATCTGAAAAGGAGGAGCTCCGCTTTCACCTTGAGAGCATCCGACTCCCGTTGGTGGGTGGCCCGCTGTTTCTCCAGACGAAGTGTCAACTGAGAGCAGAGCTGAGAACAAAAAACATTTTTACGCCCATCAGGCTAAACATCCTCCTGCCACATGCTGTTAGCAACCAGCTTCAGTTACCTGCTTGTAGTCTGCAATGATTCCAGAAGACCTTTTGACCTCCTGCTCGGTCCTCTCCACCTCTCTCCGGAACACTTCCTTTAGCTACATATACAAATATTTACATTCATAATTACAATCAAAAACATTAGATGTAAGACTTGCAGAAACCCTTGTTACCATGGTGATTTCTTCCTCCTTTCCTCTTTTCTCCACCTCTGTAGCTTGTAGTTGATGCCTGACATGCAGAAGGTCTTTGCTTAGTTTGTCCACTTGGTCTTCGGCCTGTAAAAACACAAAACTCTTCTTAGGATTTAATTTGAGTTCATTCTGACTCTCTGTGCTTTTGTCCCATCTGCAAAACGACATCCACGTGTTTAGATCTTAGGGTAGGTTCAGCTGTACCTTGTCCAGAGCGCCCCTCAGAGCAACCTTGCTACTGATCAGTCTGTGGGCCAAACTGTCATTTTCCTGCTCCAGGCGAAGACTGGCCTGCTGAAGCCGGCGGTTTTCCTTCTGTGTAACAAAGAGAAATCCCATCAGGGGTTGTGGTCGAAGAATGGGAATTATTAAAAAAGGAAAGAGGAAAATACGAGCAGTCTCTAACCAGGTATTTGTCCAAAGGGTCTTCTTTGTTATCCATGATTTGCAGTCGGCCCTCCTTGAGTTTAGCTTTCTTTGTAGGGACCTGACAAGAGAGACAGTCGCTAGTGATTTAATAATACAGTAATGTGAAATAACTGTCAATTTTGACAGGTCTTGAGAAAGCTATCATTCCCCAAAAGACTTAAAGGATGTCGGATAAGCTCGACAAATCAAGAGCAGGCTCCAGAAACAGATCCAAATAGGCGTAAATCAAAGATAAGATAAAGCCGAGTACATGGGGGACATGGTAATCTACAACGCATTTGGGAATTTATAGAGGGAGGAAGGTTTTTCAAAAAAGCATGAAATGGATTGTCATATCTTAAATATCTCAAACGAACAACCAGAATGTGTTTCATTTTATCTCAGATCAAAAATCTGTCTTGAAGGGGGAATGTGTTTTGTGTTCGGCTCATGCTTGTCATTGCTTGTCAGCAATAGCTCACGCAAGGAATGTAGAGAGATCTTTTAAATGGAAATTTACTGTTTTAATGGGACCCCCCCCCCCCCCCCCCAACAAATAAATAGAAACAGCAGTTTAGAGGACCTGAAGTCTGACTTTCCATGTGGCTCTGCAGCTTTAGATCAAAACGTTTAAAAAGAAAAGCTATTTTATAAAATGTATCAAAGCTGAAAGGATGTGATTCAATTTAAAAGTGATTAAATTCTGTCAGTATTGAACAAAATAAGATGATCTAAATCAGATTTTAACTGTAATCTGCATCGAGAAAATGAAGAAAGGACTCTCTCCTTTTAATCAATCAAAGAACTCTGATTTAATAAAGCTAATCACGCAAAGTGTTAGTCAGTAAATAAGATGTGACCGATCTGTGAAATCACAATATTAATTACTTTATTATAATCCTATAGAATATAAAGGTAATATGACGTTAAATGTTCCAATAGGACTGATCTCACATAGCGTTAAAAGACATGACACATTACTTTCACCAAAACCACGCCTCCGTCAGATCTGGCAGATTCTGATTGGATCAGTGAAAGTAATGTGTCATGTCTTTTAACGCTATGTGAGATCAGTCCTATTGGAACATTTAACGTCATATTACCTTTATATTCTATAGGATTATAATAAAGTAATTAATATTGTGATTTCACCGATCGGTCACATCTTATTTACTGACTAACACTTTGCGTGATTAGCTTTATTAAAACAGAGTTCTTTGATTAGTTAAAAGGAGAGAGTCCTTTCTTCATTCTTCTGTTTGGTTAGAACCAAATGCATGAGACCTTGAGGCCATATCTCATGCAGACTAGTTCTGTGCAGAGGAGAGGGGAAACATTTCATGTTCTACCACCAGATGTCTGGATCAGAATGTGAACCAATCAGATCTTAGATCAGGTGAGAGCCAGGCGTTTCCCGTCATCCCCTAGGTTTTGCAGCCAGTGGAGAGCAACTGCAGCGCCTTGCTCCAAAATCTGTGGCCGCCTTGAACTCACGAGGTTATCGTTGCGTACATAGGCATGACGTCAGAGCAAGTCGGCGTCAAGACGGACACAAATCTAACCGGCATGCACTGAGCACTGATCACCGGTGATCTAATCTGTGCAGACCTGGCTCATCTCGAACACGGCCAATATGTGGCGGAGGGCTGATGGGTTCAGTACCTTGCAGTAATTGAACTCCTCTGTTAACCAACATGTTTTAGACTCAAAGGTGAGACGATGGACCATAAATCAGGACAACTGGCCCAAACAAAGCAATAAATGACAGAAAGAGAACAGCAGTGGTCAAAGTTCAGCCCTGAATCTGAGAGAAACATGGTTTTGGGACCTAATGAAGAGCTCTATAACATGATTTAGTTCTACAAGCGGTTGGATCATGGGCTGGGCTAAATGTCAAATCAAGTTTATTGTGTCCTCACATGCAACATTCATTATTGTTAATGAGAAATAAAGCAGAACTTACCCCTAATGCTGGTCCTGGTTCAGCCACCAGAAAAGCAAGGATCTCCTCGCTCATCTGTTCCAAATCATGGGCATCATGGGCCATCACCATGGACACCTCCTCCATCATTCTGCCACGCTATTCAGCCACACGGGCTTCTTTCCCTCAAATAAACAATCACAGCCTAAAGCCTCCAATTCCAGCTACAAACGCCAAGGAAATCCACTTGCAGGTAACCTCACAGCAGCTCAGAGACGTGAAGCAAACGTAAAAAGATGCAGTCGCCTTGATTTTCCTGTGCAGACGAGAAAGGGCAGCTCAGGACACGAGTGTAAGGAGCAAATGTCAGGCAGGACAAAGTCCAAGTCATCCAGAAGCAAATAAACTGTTTATGGTTCAAAGATGAGCAGCAGAAGTAGACAGACGAGGAGGCACACGCATACACACACTCACACAGGCTGACAGGTGAAGGATGGAGGTGGTTTGCGTGTTTACAGGTGTTGTGGGCGGTGCCAGGTTCAGCAGGATTTCAATGAGACTTGAGAGAGTGACAGAAAGGACAGACACACCCCTGACAGTCTTATCTCCTATTGTTCCAGGTCACACAACCTGTTCATAAACCCTCAGGTTTCACTTTAATCACCTGCTTGGCTGTGATTCACGACGCAATAACGAGATTTCCCCTTCATGCACTTTATATTTTAAACATTTTCTTAATGTTTTTGTTCTCACCGACACAAACACACACACACACACACACACACACACACACACACACACACACACACACACACACACACACACACACACACACACACACACGCTGTGCAAACATGCCCGACATGTCAGCTGAACACTGCTTATGTGTGTGAAGATGTTGTATTTGTGAGATGTCACTGGAAGGCATTTGTGCAGAAGCTCTGCTCCTCCAAGCAGCCTGACAGGAACACAAGCAGGCCCAGCAGGTAGAGCTAGAAACACCAAAGCAAGAAAAACAGGGAAGTGAATTCTCGTCCGCCCGGCGTCTGTGACCCCTTGTTTTCCTGCAGAGTCACTTTTACATTACGATGCAGTTTCTTCTCCTTTCTGTGAAATCTCTCCTTTTATTCAGTGTAAAGGACCAGTTTCACATCTTCTGCAACTTCCCTTCCGTGTGCTTCAGCGAGTCGGTGTTGCTCACTTCTCTCTTTGGTTTAAATCAAAAATAAAAACAATCATGCATATCTGCACTATTCTCTGAGAAACTGGGATTTTAGGACACTGCGTCTCATCAGACTGAGTCACAGAAGGAAAACACAAAGTTAAATAAATACAACGATCCCAGGAAGAAACAGAAACATTTATTCCTATTCAACAAATAAAAAACAACATTTTGTGAAATGTGCTGGATTTTCTCTTCAAATCAGGGTGGACCAAAATCATTTCAAAGCAGTAAAAGCGAATAAAAACCTAAAACTAAAACGCAGAAGTGGTGCAAAAACAAAAATAAACTCTTCCAGACAACAGAGGAGAATATTTTGCATAAGAGCTACTGTCTGTGAACAATAAATAAAAAAAAAAAAGAAATAAAAGCACTTTATAAAGATGATCTAACACTGTATCCTCAACAGAATTGCATGATGAAACTCTGTGGAAACAATGTGACATAATAAATACGGTATTTCCAATATTTAGTCTGAGACCAGCATTAATAATATATATATATTTAAACATACTTTTATGTCGACTATTCTACTGTGAGTTTGTAAATGTACATTTTTAACAGTAATCCTGTCAAAAACACAAAAGAATAAAACTAGAGAAGAAAAATTATACTTCAATCTTGACATCTTTCACAAAACCTCTTAAATGTATAAATTGAGGCAAGCAACACAGGATTTCTTCACTGAACGTAGCGGAAAAGATTCTTTCTTCTGAACCAGCTCACTACCACACATAATCCATTTTTCTGATTTAGTTTAAAAACTAACAAAATCTTTAACATTTAAAACCCAAAACAAACTCGGATCCGTACAGGTAACTCATTTCTTTACTGTTTACTACACAGACTTTCAAAATAAAACTCAGAACTGATGGAGGTTTTCCCTTTGACTTTCCCCTCTGGGCAAAAATCCTGCTAGTGGTAAAGAAGTCCTGATAGAAAAAACATTAGCCCTCGTGTTGTAAGGGTGGGGGTGGAGGGGGGGTTTACGGCAGTCTCGCTTTAAAAAACGAAAGCAACGATGACAGAGAGGGAAGTCCTCATGGTGAAACAAGTCCAACGTCAGACCTGACTTCCCATGTCAGGTGGGTTAACGTAAATTTGAAAAACACAAAATTGTATTAAACTGAAACCAAACGTCTGGGATTTCCGTGGCTACTCCTGATCTTCATAGATAAGAAGATGAATAAATGCATCAAATCCAGAATCACATCCAAATGATTGAACTTCTTTATGTTCAGATCATACTTAAACTGATCTGATCCTCAATAAGAAGAGTTACGGGGCTCAAAACTAGAGTTCTCCACTAAGATTCCTGCAAGCTTTGAGCTGACTGATCCAACGATACTTGCTGGATTTGAGGATTTCTTCACATATTTCAGGTTTAAATCACCTTAAACAATCCCTGGATTTGATTTGTATGTTATTACTTTAAACGTAGCTTTTGAGTGTCATCATTAATCGCTCTTATTTTCATGCCTGCACTGAAATCGCTAAAACCACATCAGCACCGGGGTGACTTAGCCCTGTGTCATCCAAACTGAAGCATGGGGAGGATTGTGCATCATCCCTGGCAGATCAAACGCTCTTCATGATGCAGCTGCAGTGGGCTGCTGGGTGGATTTGTTGCCCTCATGAGAGCTGAAGGAGTGGGCTGAGACTGTGGGTCACTTCCATGAATGAATGAGCGTGGGTAAGCGACTAACAGAGTGAGCAGTTACGTAGGTGGACGTGTGATTGTGCTGTATTCTAATAAACCACCTGAATGCCGTTTGTTCAAAAGGAATCTGAGGTGAGGTCAGACGTCGGTGCTGTAGGGGCGAGGCGGGGGAAGGAACATGTCCGTGGAGTTGTAGCAGCTCAAAGGGGAGGAGTCTTGCCGGTTGTCGGCTCGGGGAAGAGAAACAGACGGGTTTTCGTAGTAGGTGTGGAAGCCCAGCCGCTCCCCTCCGTTACGCACGCCGTCGGCGAGTCCAGAGCGGAGGGGGTAGGGTGAACAGGTGGGGCAAGGTTTGTGATGGGAGCCCGTGTCCAGCTGATCCAGAGAGACCGGGCTGATGGCGGTGCCGTCCATGGCCAGAGCGTTGCAGGCGTTGCAGGGGAAGTGAGAGAGAGGGTCAGCTCCGGCCTCCGAGGCCACGTCCACCTCCGATTCATTCTTCTTACAGCAGAAATACTGGAGGGAGCAGGAGGACAAAGGTTATCATGAGCTACACTGGAACAAATACTGAGATGACGACAACTCTGAATGACGTCAAATTATGAAAAAAGGAAATTAATTCCCTACTCATAAGACTATTGTCCCAAATTCACAAAAAACTACTTCCAGCCTTAACGTGTCCAGATGGAGTATTAGTAGGGATGTCCGATATTGGCTTAAAAAGTCATATCGAAAATGATCTGTATGGGTTTTTACTGTTTTATGACACAAACTTTACAAACATGCACATTTTACACATCAGGCTATTCGGCTACTTCGCCGCTCACTCAAAATGTCCAAATATGACAGATCTGAGCTTAAGATTTAGAAATGCTTTTGCTTTAAGTTGTGTGAAGTTTTCCCGCTATAGTGGGTGTTTGTCAGGATCACCTCAGGGAGAATGGGATTCAGCTGCTGTTGGATTTATTTGATGGAGTCGCCATATTTTGCATAGAAAATATTGAAAGTTTAAGCACCTGTGATATGAGATATGTGATGTTAGTTACTTAAAATGATTTAGTCATACTTTTGTATGAGGGTGGACCCTACGTATGTTGGTATCAGTTTATATCGGAATCGGAAATTAAGAGTCAGGCTTTATCAGTAAGAAAGCACATATTAAAAATCCCTAAGTATCAGGGTTAGTACTTTCATCAAAAACCAGTCGTGTACATGTCTACTGCCCCCTAGTGGAGGGTCTACAGGTGACAAAAGCCAATTTTATTCATATTTAATAGTTTTACCACATAATAAAATAAAACCTATTATTATAGCTATTATATTACATTAGCAGATACATTATTCAGCTTAACAACTAGATTATTTTTATTACTTTATAAAATTGTTGAGGGAAAATGTCAAGATGAATGTTTCAGGAGTAAAATTGAAACCTGAAAAAGAAATTCTAATGGAATAAAAGAGCAGAGGAGATTCATCTTTGCTCCTGGTATGTTTATACAACTGTGGCACCAATAGTGCGTATAAAATCTGGCTGCTGCCACAAGCACTAGCTTCATTATGAGATGTTCCTGAGTTCAGTTTATTTTGTTAAAGTTTTTTTATTTTATTTTTTTTACCAAAGATAATAAAACATTTTGATCAATACGCTCGTCACTTGGGCTTAGCTCTGAGGCAGAACCTTGGCAACCCAGTTGTAAATGTTGAAATCATCATTTATGCATTGGTCTTCAGGTGTTACCTTTCTCTGGATATTTTTCAGTTCTCATATCCAAAAGCTACGTTTGTGCCAGAAATCCCTGCAAGCGTCTGAAGTAATTTCCCTGTACTCACGGACCACTCACTGCATGGGATTTTTTATGCTGCCTTGGTAAATTTATGTTGCAATAGTTTATTTTTAATGAGTAAAAGACACACACACACACACACACACACACACACACACACACACACGCACACGCACACGCGCGCGCACGCACGCACGCACACACACACACACACACACACACACACACACACACACACACACACACACACACACACACACACACACACACACACACACACACACACACACACACGCACACACACACACACTGGATACCTGGAGTCTACAGTAACAGAGGACTGCTACGATGCACAGCAGTATCACTCCAGCAAGAATTCCTCCGGTTATGACGATCGTTCCCGCTGACATTCGACCAGCTCTCCATCAAACCCTTTAAAGGCGAAAACAAAATCCACGAATGTTATCAGGGATATTCAACAAATGATTCAACTATGTGTGAAAATTAGACCAATGCTCTGATTTGTATGCAGACAGATTGCTCCGACCCTTGGAGGTAAAAACGGGTGATAATGGGAGCCTTCAGAGCAGCAACGCTCCACTCTGATGATGCTACTAGCCTTTGAGGAGGCGATGAGCAGCATTTATCCAAAACAGGACAACAAATTTCTTATTTGTTAATGGCTCTCAAACATTCCTTGAGAACCTCAAAGGTTTTCATGATGGATTTGAAGCCACTGCGGTAGAATATACTGTATCAGAACTCTTCTCATAAATATTCAATGAGCTCCACTGCTTTGGTGTGTGAAATCCTTTAAAATTTCCCTCCTGAAAGCCTTTCTGGTTGCCAGATCCTGATTAATAGGCAACATTTATTAAAATATTATAAAAGTTATGCTTTTATGCAATAGTTTGCTGAAACGGTTTGCCACAAATAAACTGAGCTTGTAGATTTTTCAGGCTTACCAGGCTGAGTAATTACCATAACAAATCACCCACACCTGCAGGCTTTCCGGAACATCCCGGAAAGTTTTAGAGCTACATGTGTTGGTGAGTCTCTTTTCCCGCAACATTTCAGCACATCTACAGCCTTGAGCATGGAATCAATGCAAATAGCAGGCATTTCCCTCTTTAGTTCATTATTTAGAAAAAAAACTGTTAAAGAAGAAACACACTTTAGGTACTCTGGTTTGAAACACTAAAAGCACGACAATTGTTGGACTGTAAACAAAAACAAAACTTTTAAAGACTGAATCAAAGAAATGAAATGAAAAAAAAAATAAATTGTAGCTCCTCACTTTTATTTAAGGTGCACAAGACGAGCGGCAGGAATGAGGGGTGAACAAACTTTTCAAGAAATGAGACAGAATCATCAAGTTAAAATCCTCTCGGCCTACAAAAAAATGCAACAAATATTTATAGGGATTTTTCATGCACTGATCAAAAGTAACAAGTATTGATCTAGATCTACTCCTCACTGAAACAACAAGATTCCACTATTCCAGAAATTAATTTAGGGACCACACAAGAGAACTTTGTGGGCTGCAAATGGCCCCCAGACCACACTTTGGATGTGCCTGATCTAAAACATGCTGCACAGTGGCCCTCAAAGTGCATGACTGGTGAGAGTTTAAGCAAAGAAGATCTAACCTAATCAGGAAAACAGCATTTAAGGACCGACTGGTTGAGCAAAGACATCTGTTGACAAGGCTCAATGAGCATGTTATGCTAAACTCACCATTTGCATTGTTTTGTGCTGCCATGTGGGTATCTACTGCCTCTTTAAATACTCCAAACATGAAAACATCTGTCAGTGCTTGGTTTTACGAATTTTGTCTAAAAAAATGCAGTTTCAAAACATCCCCTTTTGTGACATCACAAATGTGGAAAGTACAATAGAACCACCTCTCACGTCAAAGAGAAAGCTGCTGCTGGAGGAGCAGAAGCTCTCGGATGTCGGAGCTTCTCAGCTAATAGCAGCCTGAGCTGGGGAGAGGTGGGCGTGGCCAGCTCCAGCCTGTTGCCTTAAAGTGACAGAGCCCTGAACCGGCTCACTCAGGAAAGTTCTGAAAATGTCCTGAATAAAACAGCTGAGAGATTTTGTACCAAGAACTTCATAAACATGTTAGGTGTCGACCACTGAAAAAGTCTTTATATATCCCCTTTCTAGAAAAGTCAAACCCAAACAGTCGTGCAGAAGTACTTATATTTGTCGGGGCTCTAAATTCTTTAGTGACACATTTGAGAAACAGATTAAATTCTCTTTTCCTTTCCCCCCTTTGAGCTTCTGTTAATGAGGAAACCATTAGGAAACAGGAAGCAGGGCGTATGACTTTCTTCCACAGACAATTTCGGTTTTAAAACATTTTACCTCGACTCTGCATCGTTACACAACAGTCCTGTCTTTTTTGCGCTAGTGTTTCAGAACAGCTTCCTGCTGCCCTTTTCTCCACTTGTCACTTCTGTAAACTAAAAAAAGCAACAAGCACACTCATATAACCAGAGAGATGTTTCTGAAAAGCAGGAAAAGTGAGCAATCAGCAGGTAATCTAGTTTTCTGAGAAGGAATGATTTATTCTTTCAGACACAAAATGCTCAATCAGAAAATGTTGTTACGATCGAAGCAGATGTGCTACTTTGTGTTTCTCTTTCCATTTGGCACAACATGCATGAGGAAAAGTGGTTTGTTGATTTTAAAACCACCCAGGAAGAACCTCAGAGAGAAACCGCAGCTTCTGGCTGCAGCATTTTATAAAAGAAAAGAAAAAATAAATCAGCTAATCTTGTTAAAAAAGGTAACCTGAAATAAAAGGAACTTTTAGCATCTGGATCTAATAACTTGTGTACTCCACTCTGCATATTTTTATTTGAAAACAACAATAACGGTCCTTTATTTCTCCTTGTTTTACTTTAATCAGATCCAGTCACCATTCAACTTTGCCTGTCTGCTTAAACAATGTCAACTGAGAGAAAATTATAAAACTGGTCATGGAAATATACGGGATTCCGACATTATTCTCAGATTAAAGTGCATTTAACTACATTTAGTAATTGCAGGTAGTCATAAGTATGTTGCACATAGAACCTTAGAGAAACTGAGGACTATTTACAGTGGGAGGGGTGATGACTGGATGAGAAGCAGGTGAATAAACTAGCAGTTTGGACTTTGTGGTAGCTTGAAAAGCTAGAGAGAAATAATGAAACAGTGAATAAACAGAAGAACAAGTTTAAAATGTTGGTTCTGTCACAAATCAACCAGAAAATGACCCCAGACCTAGAATAGTAAAACACAGTTTAGTTTCATCACATTTGAGACAATGTTTGATAACGTTTTCATAATAAAACTCACTGAAGTGGCTAATCTAAATAATCCTTGAGGAACAAAGGGAACCACATACATAATGCAACTTTGTCTGATAAGTGGACAGGTACATTAGCTAACAGTGGGGGATGCAGGGAATCATGAAAAGGTGGGAACCATGGCAACCTGTGGAGTGTTTCTCTCAAAACCACCTCTCAGTGGATCTCCTGCAGGGACAGAAGAGGCTCTTGACTAGAGGAAAAGGTCAAAATGAGCAACATAATCTATAAATGACTAAATAACCAGAACTCATTAACAGAATATGCTAAAGGCAGCTTTAGCTTCATGCTATGCACAGCTGGTATTGTGAGTTAAGTTGAAACATGCAAAACAAACAAAAAAAGATATTCCTTAAAATATATTTAAACACTTCAAACAAAATACAAATAAACTGTCAGATGACAAACAGAAGAAGAGGATGATGTAGGGTTTGACAAATTGAGTGCTTTAAGATATATATATATATATATATATATATAACCTCTATTTATGACCAATAAGCTGTGATACTCTATCTAAATATAGAATATCAACCCTGCTTGGTCTTTTACTGTGTTCATCAGAAGATCTAGGATTCTTTCTTTATTAAGGAATTGTACACACTTTGTTTTGATTCAGAAAAGAGTCAGGTTTATAAAAGTAAGAATTTATTTTACAAACAATTAAAACATGACAAGTTAAGGAAGCATTTACTGTGAGTGGATGGAACTAGATGTGATGTAGGAACCTACGTGTGAAAGGTGTTAGTCAGAACTTCCATATCTAGGAAAGCTGAGTTCTGGATGCAAAATAATTTGGTTTGCGTTAAGCTATGGAGTTGGTTCTTAACAAAAATGCATCAGACACTATCTGTTGTGTCTACATACCCACTCGAAGACTCTCGTGATAGATCTGGAATGTCTAAGTCCTTGGACTTCCAGGCACCGAGGTCCCACTAAACCGGAGTTGTCTCCAGGTCACAACAGATGGATGGAACTGCACGTCTGGGACTCTTTAAGGAGTCTAAACAATATCAGCTTATTCTGCAGGAACTGTTTCTGTATCAGCTTCGCAGGTGCAAAAAGGTTTTGACAACGTGTCAAAATCTTTGATGGGTTAAAGAGGTTTTGCTTCAGATGGCCGGTCTGAAACTTTCTATAGAACTGCTGAATCACCCGAGTGATCCAGTTTTAATGTCCTCATGTTATGACTTGTGTAGCCAACCAGAGGTTGACAGGTTTGAGGAATGTTACCAAGAATCTCAGAAACACGCCTTCTTTGATACGGGGGCTCTGATCTGGGGCAAAGGACAATTTATGTGTCACGAGTTTAACTTAACCTTACTTGTTCTTGTGTGAGTGCAAATGGTGATGACCTTGTCATGTAAACATGCTGAAACATATTTCAATCACTGTAATCATAACATAACATTTATTTCAAACTTTAATCATTGAGCACAGATTAATGAAACACTTCATTATATTATAATTACCGTAAATCCTCTAATACAGGCCCGGGCCTGTATTTGACTCAAGCTCATCAAGCTCCAGGCCTTTATTGGAAGGAGGGCCAGTATTAGAGGCAGGCCTCTATTTCTATTTGAGCAAAATGAATTAATGGTTCGCTGGAGTTTTTGACAATTAAAATTGCGCCCACATTTTCAAAGTTAAACACATTTCTTTTAACAACGGTAGTTTCTGCTTCAGTCCTCTCCCCCCTCCCCCTGCGCAGCGGCCGCAAACTCACTGATGCGCCTGCAGCCTCTCAGAGTTCCTGCTGCTCTAAACATTAAAATAATTATTTCATTTTCTGTTCCTCACTTCTGATTACCTTCAATGGTGTCTGTTTGTTGCAACCACCAGGTACAAAAACTAACTTGTTTTTCTTTGACTATTTTTCTGTCCTGCCTGTTTATTATCTTCCTGCATCTCCTCTCAATCCTAAAGAGAAACTGCTACCTGGGTTCATATATATTCACCTCATGAGTTACCTTTGAACTGCAGTTCTAAAAGATCTACCGACCGCAAAAACAGCGGATTGCTCACTGCTTGGTGGCCGCATCAGTGATCGGTGCGTCACCGGAGGACAAGTTG